GAAAATAGATAGCATCTTACACATTAACTATTTACACACAATGTGAAGACAGGTAGCATCTTACACTTTTAACTATTTACACACAATGTGAAGACAGATAGCATCTTACACATTTAACTATTTACACACAATGTGAAGACAGGTAGCATCTTACACATTTAACTATTTACACATAATGTGAAGACAGGTAGCATCTTACACATTAAATATTTACACTCAATGTGAAGACAGGTAGCATCTTACACATTTAACTATTTACACACAATGTGAAAATAGATAGCATCTTACACATTTGACTATTTACACACAATGTGAAGACAGGTAGCATCTTACACATCTAACTATTTACACTCAATGTGAAGACAGATAGCATCTTACACATTTAACTATTTACACACAATGTGAAGACAGGTAGCATCTTACACATCTAACTATTTACACTCAATGTGAAGACAGATAGCATCTTACACATTTAACTATTTACACACAATGTGAAGACAGGTAGCATCTTACACATTTAACTATTTACACACAATGTGAAGACAGATAGCATCTTACACATTTGACTATTTACACACAATGTGAAGACAGGTAGCATCTTACACATCTAACTATTTACACTCAATGTGAAGACAGATAGCATCTTACACATTAACTATTTACACACAATGTGAAGACAGATAGCATCTTACACATTTAACTATTTACACACAATGTGAAGACAGGTAGCATCTTACACATTTAACTATTTACACATAATGTGAAGACAGGTAGCATCTTACACATTAAATATTTACACACAATGTGAAGACAGGTAGCATCTTACACATTTAACTATTTACACATAATGTGAAGACAGGTAGCATCTTACACATTAAATATTTACACTCAATGTGAAGACAGGTAGCATCTTACACATTTAACTATTTACACACAATGTGAAAATAGATAGCATCTTACACATTTGACTATTTACACACAATGTGAAGACAGGTAGCATCTTACACATCTAACTATTTACACTCAATGTGAAGACAGATAGCATCTTACACATTTAACTATTTACACACAATGTGAAGACAGGTCGCATCTTACACATTTAACTATTTACACACAATGTGAAGACAGATAGCATCTTACACATTTGACTATTTACACACAATGTGAAGACAGGTAGCATCTTACACATCTAACTATTTACACACAATGTGAAGACAGATAGCATCTTACACATCTAACTATTTACACTCAATGTGAAGACAGATAGCATCTTACACATTTAACTATTTACACACAATGTGAAGACAGGTAGCATCTTACACATTTCACTTTTTACACTCAATGTGAAGACAGATTCATCTTACACATTCAACTATTTACACTTAATGTGAAGACAGATAGCATCTTACACATTTACCTATTTACACTCAATGTGAAGACAGATTGCATCTTACACATTTAACTATTTACACACAATGTGAAGACAGGTAGCATCTTACACATTTAACTATTTACACATAATGTGAAGACAGACACCATCTTACACATCTAACTATTTACACACAATGTGAAGACAGATACCATCTTACACATCTAACTATTTACACACAATGTGAAGACAGATACCATCTTACACATCTAACTATTTACACTCAATGTGAAGACAGATTCATCTTACACATTTAACTATTTACACATAATGTGAAGACAGGTAGCATCTTACACATCTAACTATTTACACACAATGTGAAGACAGATAGCATCTTACACATTAACTATTTACACACAATGTGAAGACAGATAGCATCTTACACATTAAATATTTACACATAATGTGAAAATAGATAGCATCTTACACATTTGACTATTTACACACAATGTGAAGACAGGTAGCATCTTACACATCTAACTATTTACACTCAATGTGAAGACAGATAGCATCTTACACATTTAACTATTTACACACAATGTGAAGACAGGTAGCATCTTACACATTTAACTATTTACACACAATGTGAAGACAGATAGCATCTTACACATTTGACTATTTACACACAATGTGAAGACAGGTAGCATCTTACACATCTAACTATTTACACTCAATGTGAAGACAGATAGCATCTTACACATTAACTATTTACACACAATGTGAAGACAGATAGCATCTTACACATTTAACTATTTACACACAATGTGAAGACAGGTAGCATCTTACACATTTAACTATTTACACATAATGTGAAGACAGGTAGCATCTTACACATTAAATATTTACACACAATGTGAAGACAGGTAGCATCTTACACATTTAACTATTTACACATAATGTGAAGACAGGTAGCATCTTACACATTAAATATTTACACTCAATGTGAAGACAGGTAGCATCTTACACATTTAACTATTTACACACAATGTGAAAATAGATAGCATCTTACACATTTGACTATTTACACACAATGTGAAGACAGGTAGCATCTTACACATCTAACTATTTACACTCAATGTGAAGACAGATAGCATCTTACACATTTAACTATTTACACACAATGTGAAGACAGGTAGCATCTTACACATTTAACTATTTACACACAATGTGAAGACAGATAGCATCTTACACATTTGACTATTTACACACAATGTGAAGACAGGTAGCATCTTACACATCTAACTATTTACACTCAATGTGAAGACAGATAGCATCTTACACATTAACTATTTACACACAATGTGAAGACAGATAGCATCTTACACATTAAATATTTACACTCAATGTTAAGACAGATAGCATCTTACACATTTGACTATTTACACACAATGTGAAGACAGGTAGCATCTTACACATCCAACTATTTACACTCAATGTGAAGACAGATAGCATCTTACACATTTAACTATTTACACACAATGTGAAGACAGGTAGCATCTTACACATTTAACTATTTACACTCAATAGGAAGACAGGTAGCATCTTACACATTTAACTATTTACACTCAATGTGAAGACAGGTAGCATCTTACACATTTAACTATTTACACTCAATGTGAAGACAGATTCATCTTACACATTTATCTATTTACACTTAATGTGAAGACAGGTAGCATCTTACACATTTAACTATTTACACACAATGTGAAGACAGATAGCATCTTACACATTTGACTATTTACACACAATGTGAAGACAGGTAGCATCTTACACATCTAACTATTTACACTCAATGTGAAGACAGATAGCATCTTACACATTTAACTATTTACACACAATGTGAAGACAGGTAGCATCTTACACATCTAACTATTTACACTCAATGTGAAGACAGATAGCATCTTACACATTTAACTATTTACACACAATGTGAAGACAGGTAGCATCTTACACATTCAACTATTTACACTTAATGTGAAGACAGATAGCCTCTTACACATTTACCTATTTACACTCAATGTGAAGACAGATTGCATCTTACACATTTCACTATTTACACACAATGTGAAGACAGGTAGCATCTTACACATTTAACCATTTACACATAATGTGAAGACAGGTAGCATCTTACACATCTAACTATTAACACACAATGTGAAGACAGATTGCATCTTACACATTTAACTCTTTACACATAATGTGAAGACAGGTAGCATCTTACACATTTCAATTTTTACACTCAATGTGAAGACAGATTCATCTTACACATTCAACTATTTACACTTAATGTGAAGACAGATAGCATCTTACACATTTACCTATTTACACTCAATGTGAAGACAGATTCATCTTACACATTTATCTATTTACACACAATGTGAAGACAGGTAGCATCTTACACTTTTAACTATTTACACACAATGTGAAGACAGGTAGCATCTTACACATCTAACTATTTACACAACATGCAAAGTTCTCCAATTTCATTCAACTCAGTCTGTCTTAAATCTTTTTGAATTTTGTCCATTATTTTGAGGAGAAGCAGGGTGTTTCTGTGAACATTGATCAAATGACTGCCAAAAAAGATCTTTCATTTCTGAGAGGTTCAGGTTGCTTGGGTATTTCAGTCCAATCATATCTAAATATGCTTTTATGTTTGCAATTTTAGGATAAGTGTCTTTTAGGTTTAGGATTGTTTGTATTTTCTCCAGTTCGTTTTGAATTAAAGAGTCGAGCACATTTGGTTTAACAGCGACATCAGTTAACTCAAAGAACATCATGTAAAGATGTGACTTAACTCTAAAATCTGCGTATTGACCTGCATAGCGTGCCATTCCATTTGATTTAATGCCATCATGTACATACCATCCTGGTTTAATTGTGGTATCTTTTGTGATATGTGGCAAGGTTTCAACATAGAAATGATTTCCAGTGTAGTATATGATGGATGTCAGAGCATATAAATTGTTGTTCATTTTAACAAAGTATGGTGTCTTCATATCGTGAATATTTGCCTGCATAACATCATAATCAAATAGAACTGCAAACATTAATGGCTTGTTCTTTATAGTCAGTTTGCAAAGTGGAATAACTTCAATATTATCATTCCTTTGACAAGAAAGACAGCGATAATCTGGTATTTGTCTCATGTCTTGTAAAAATTTTAGTTCTATAGATTTTTGCAAATTCACAATAACAGTTCCATGATATGACATGTTTTCATAGACAAAATCATCACGAGATATTGTCATAACAGCATCAGTATTACGCCTCCTAATTTCAGAATGGCTAACATTTTTTGGACAGTTCTTTTCTAAATCATATTGTAAAGATAGAAGAGACTGTTCTAATGGATTTAATGATCTGTAAAATAAAAGCCACTCTGCAGAAAGGCTAGCTGTTTGTCCGAGCCCAAAGTAAGATGATGCTGTTTCTGATGTTGATAGAAGCCAGTTCCAAAACACCATTTTACTGTCATGGAATCTTCCTTGCATTTTCAGCCTTAGGCATTTAAGCATTTCTTCCATTGGTTTACTGACATTCACTTGAAGTAGTTTTCTTATTTTTTCAGATTTCCGACTGAGGATATGAAGCGTGCCTTCAAGGATTGAATCAATGTGACAGCTATTTGGAACCCCATTTGAGCCCCACCTATATGATTGATACTGGGTGTGGAAATCCTTAGGTACATGTGTAGGTTTTGACTTTTTTGGGGGGGGTATATTAAAATCACCTCGAGTAATCCTTACAATATCTGGATCAATATCATCACGTAATGAATCACATCTTGTTAAGAGAATAGCACTGTCAGCTAAGTTTTTTGATTTTTTGTGAAGAACTGCTGGAATATTTGGCATTTCAGTTTGCCAAACACATGATTTGTGGAAATCTCTTAGATATGTGAGCAGTTGATTCGTGAAGTTTGCATCATAACAAATTTGGAAAATGTTAGTTCCAATCGGAGTCCAGACTATGAAATGGCATTCTCTTGCACCAGTGGCATGCATTTCTAGCATAACTTGAGGTATATAGTATGTTGGTATTTCAGAATAGGGAAATGGCTTGCCATTTTTCCATGGACATTTTATTTCTATTGCAACTTTTGTACCATCTGCAAGTGTAACTAGACCATCTGGAGTTACTCCTAGCCATATTCTTTTCCCACTATCAGCAATCACATAAGTTGTAACTTCATTGAACATTGCATTTATGTAATTGGTGTTAAGGAAGTTCAGATATGTTATTATGGCATAACGTTCACATATTCTGCCCCATCTCATTGCACTATTGGCTATGGTTTCTGTCCATGAACTATTATCTATGTGGAATTCCTTAATTAAATTGTAATACTCAAGTCTAGCATTGGTTCCGTGCATGCCAAGAGTTGTTGCAGCCATACTTCCATTGATTTTACCTTTGCGTAGTGTGAGCCATGCTTCTGAACCCTGCTTTAAATTTCCTGTGTATTTTGTGAAGTTTTTGAATTCTTTTAAAGACTTTGTTTTCATGGTGTCAAGCAAGCCAATTACTGTTTTCTTTGAGTATGATTCGAACATCTTAGAGAAATTTGTTTTTTTTGTTTGATTTGTTTTTCTTTTTGATTTATTTAACGGGCATGTTTTGTAATTATGGCCTTTTGTTTGGCATTTTGTGCATGTCTGTTTTTTCAACCAGTCTTCATTAATTGGTTCCGTACATTGCCTAGCCCAGTGACCAAACTTTTTACAATTAAAGCATTGATCATACGGTGTTGAAAAGTTTAATTTAGGTTTATCACCGCTATATGATTTGAGATATTGACGTATTGCACTGTGGTCATTTTCACTTGGACTAAGCTTATCTTTTCTTATGTAAAATATACACCGTTGTTTCAAGAACCTTTTAATGATATGTCCAAATACAAAGGCAGTTTCTTGTGAATCAAAATCTTGATAACCACACATATCCAGGAGACAGTACCAAGTTTTTCTTATTTCAGTATCAGAGTAGTAAAATTGTAATGCATCTAATAGTGATCTGGTTGTCCACTTGTCTGAGCAAAAATACTTTTGACGTAGTTCATCATCTAATTGCATGAAAAATCCCTGAACAGACAACCAGTTTTGTGGCTGTTTCAGTATCTCCATAAGTTTGCTGGATTGAGTCATTAAAATCTGGGGTGTGTTTAATTCTATGTATGATGTGATTGATCTAAAATTCTTTTTTAATTCTTTGCACAATGTGCCAGACTTCTGTAAAGCCATTTCTACAGGGAAAGATCTTTGTCCAATAATAGAATGTGACAGTGATTCATCATGCCAGTTCACAAAGCTATGTAAAAGATCAGCATTATTTCCGTCGTCTTTGGGTTTTGACCTTCTTTTGAGAGGAACACTTTTAAGATTTGGCAGAGTCATTGCACTGTATGAACCAATGGTATCTTCAATTTCTGAAAATTCACCTCTTAAAAGTTGGTCCTTAGACAGTGTTGTATTTGTTTGAAAATATTGATCAACAGTTGGTTTTCCACCAGCTATGCGAGCTCTTTGCAAGCTAAAGTAGTTCTCCACATCATCTTGAGAGAGTGATTTTGGAACAAATTTAACATTTTCATGGTATAATTGCATATATGTGAACAATCCAATTGTGCCATTAATTGTTCGAATGATATCTGAGAATGACTCTTTTGTGATAAATGACCGATTGTGGTCTCGCAATGAATAATCAGGCCTCCTGTTTGCTGATGATTGTTTTATTTCAGTGTGCCAATCGGAAAAATATTTTTTCACTTCATTTAATTGCTTCACAAAGTTTGGCTTGGGTTTGCACGCATTCAACGTTTCAAAAAACATGGCTGAGGTTCGAATGTATTTTCGCAGCTGAATGGTTTCATAGAAATGGTGTTCAGCTAAATCTTCACTGGTTGAGTAAGATAACAATTGAACGGCACGCTTGACACTCATCTTTGTACGGGCACTCAAAACAATGTGCTTCCATTTTAATGAAGTATTTTCATTTTGAATAAGGTCAACTAGATATGATGGTGAAATATCATCACCCTGAAACTTCATGTGTCTGTTGCTCGATATCAAGTGATTCCTTAGTCGTTTGATTAGGTGAGGGAAATCGGAGAGCCAATAAATTGGTCTACTGTCATTATAGGGATTTGAGCAAACAAAGTTGTTGTTGCTTGAGTTCTTGAAGAAAGAACGTGAATAAGTTGATCCATCGCAGACAGCATACAATATTTGCATCCTTTGTTTATCATTGATTTCAATTTTACTGAGACATTCAACGACCTGCCAAAGCATTTTATCTATTTTGATGCTATTTACTTTGGCAACGGGATATGATGCTACCGGCCAACAAAAATCTCCCTCGATGCTAGTGAAAAAGAATTGACATATCATGTTTGATAATCTCTCTTTTTCAGGAATTTCTTTTTCATCAGATGTTGATGATTGTGTGGAAAAACAGTGTGAGGATTGTGAGCTTGACTGGGAGTGTGACTGACCTTGAGAGGAACCTTGGGAGTTCTGGCTATCAGCACTTGAATCAATATTTTCAAGGTATTCATCTGGGATATTTAAATTTTCGAACCCAACCAAGTTACCAGTTCGTCTATTGATACACAGACCTTTTTTAACCATAATTTCATCAAAGTGAACCCCACCAATACCTTTACAGTTTCTACGTTTCATTTCCTGTATCATCATTGCAATATTTTCTTGATTTATGGGTTCAGTGTTACATGCTTGCTGTCTATATTGCTTAATTGTATTCCATTTTGGAATGGGCAGAATACTACTTATAGCATCATATCCACTTTCTTTACATTGGTTGGCAATGCGACAACACCATTTTATGGTCAGTGGACTGTATCTCATACCTTTGGGCCTGGGCTTCTTTTTGTTTTTTGTTAATTTAGAGCCTGATTTTTGATATTCCTTCTCTTGCTTTTCTAGGGATATCATTGAATCTTTCAGTACATGGAACAAAATTGAATTGTCATTTAACCATCCATTTTTAGTAGCTATATCAACCATTTCGCCTAATTCAGATGCACTAACCTTAAAATTCGAAGGGGCAGATATGCTATTTGATCTTTGTTCTTTTAACAGTCTGTGTGTGTATTTTAGTTTCTTGGTAAGGTTCTTGTTTTTATTTGTCAAAGAACGAGTCTTCTCTAACATTTCTTGATATGTAAGCACAGAGTAATTTGTCATGTTATGCTGATGATCCTTTACTTTAATCAGTTTTCTTAGTGAGTTTCGTTTTGCATTATAACACGAGCTACATAGGTCTGTTTTAGTAGATTTGGACACATATTCACAATTGGTACTTCTTATACTTGTAATTGTTGCTATTGTTTCAATGATCAGGTTATCATAGGTTTTGCCCTGATTGATTTTTTTAGATTGGAAGTCTTTGACTATATCTTCATCAGTAATACCTGGACATATTGCTATACTCTTGATCTTTGGCAAAACCATCTCGGTAATAGCACTTGTGAACATTTCTACATTGACTGTTAAATTATTTGGGATACAAAAACTCTCTATCAGCTTTTGTCTTATCTTTATATCACATTGCCAGGTGGTATTAATATTTTTAATATGTACATCGTATGATGCTAATGTGCCATTTCCGCATTGAAGTTTAATTTCTGTTTCAGATAAAAGAGCCATGACCCAAGGGGTTCCTTTCAAAGATGTAATAAGTGCAAATATTACATCAGAGGATTCAAATTGGGAAGGTTCCATTTCTAGAGAACAAGAGTGTTGGTGTAAACTCTCCAATATACCTAATTTTGACTTTAAATGGTACGAGGAGGAGTCAGTCATTTTTGGGGTAAACTCAAACACTGTATCATTGGCACTTCTCTCAGGATTATTCCTATTGTTGGATTTAGAAGGATCAGCTGAACTGGATTTTTCAATTGGATCATGTTTAGCCTCAAACAGTGTGTCTGAGTTAGAGTTATACGTTGAATTATCAGAGACCGACTGTGAGAGATTAGGATTTGTTATTTTACATTGCTCAAGTGGTTCTGTTAAATCACCTATTAATGTGTTGTACTTTTTGGACGTTTCGATTAAGTCAGTGAAATATGATTCACATTTAGAGCATGCATAGCCATCAATCTTTTGATCCTTTATACCATCATTTACAAGATCTGTTTTGTAACTACATGGACACACAAATGTTTTTTCAGAAACAAATATGACATGAGATTGGCATTTGACTGTTGTAAGTGTATATGTGCCTTTGCAGTGAACACATTCTTTTTGTGTAAAATTCTTGTAGTTAACTGGCTCAACATTGTCCGGGTTACTGAATCTCTTATGACGCTTATGAGGTTGCTTGCTGTAATGTGAATTGCAGATCTTCAATTCACTAACAATATCAGCATTTAAAATATCAAAATTGATGTCAATTTCATAGAATCCATTTAATGTTCTCAAATGACGTCTGCCCTCATTTTCACAATTTAGAATACAGCAACGACTTCCACCTTCATTTGTGATATTTTTTGTGATAGTGAGATTCGGATCATTTTGTCTATTATCATTCCTATTTTTTATGGACTTACACTGATGATTAAATCTGTATGTTTTGGCTTTGTAAAAGCTGTCCATACTCATATACAGTACAAGTAATGTATCACTTAAAAGAGAAGTAATTGAGGAAGAAGAGTTTGAATTGAAATTCTGTATACAAGATAATAACAGGAGCAATATGAATGATATCTCAATGTGCGCTTGGTGTAGTATTGCTCTATACAAAATACATGGTACTAAGATTACAATACCTGCAATATGGACTTGAATTGATACATTACTTCCTGAAATTTCAAGGAATACAATCCATGCATAAGTTGACATTAAAACTCCCTCGACTGTGCTGCAGTGAAACAGCTTGATTTTGTTATTGCACAAGATGTCTCTTTTGAGATATTTCACTATATTTCCTATAGACATGTCAAGGAGCAAGCACAATAGTTGACCAGGAAGACTATTAAGAATAACTAAATCTTTGCATAATATATTTATATTTGCAACATTTTGAGTGATATATGATATACAAGAATCATACATTTTCTCAGATATTCTCAGTTTCCCTTTCACTGTTTCTTTTGGTTCAGTCTTTTTCAGTGGGATTTTTACTTTGGATATCCATTTTTGGAATTTATTAAGTCTGCTAATATTAGCTCTTACTAGTGTTTTCTTCAACAAGATCATTTTATCTGAGTGATGTTTGTTTGTTCTTTGTTTAAAAAACACCCAGAATGGTGTATTGGTTAAAGGTCTTTGTTGGTCAGACTTTTTAAATGTTTGCCATTTTCTAAAAGGCCATATAAACAGTTGAAAACATGAACCAGTAACACACAGCATATGACAAAACATGATATTTGGAACTTTTGTAATCTCAAGAAAATCTATTGTTGCTAAATAGCAGATTGTTATCAAACAGAAGACTATTGCGTGATAGCGATCCATCATGAGATATATACCTTTGATTGAGTGAGTGTTGATTCTGTGTAAGCTGCTATGTAGAAATCTGAAAGAAAAAATGATTAAGCAATGAGGCAAATGGTATTTTTAAAAAAAGAATCTCAAGTAACATTAGACTATTATGCAGTCTACAGGTTAAACTAAAAATGTATATTGGTAGACGAGATTTATAAAATCATATTTTGCATTTTTCTGAGAATTGAACAATTCAAATTATATGTAGTTTTATTAAAATATAACAACAGTGGAGTTCATCTACTGTAAAATAAACTGATTTTAGTATACAAGTACTGTACAGCCTATTACTAAAATCTAGTATTGCTAGACTACTAGCCTAAGCTAAATTATTCTTTTAAACCATATTTATTCTGCATGCACTGAATAATATAATTATATTGTATAAAATAGCTACTGATACATGTGATTTTAGATACCTATAGGCAGCAAAGTAAGAAAAGTAAAGTGGCAAAGACTTTACCTGGTGAAATGGGTGAGGTGTCTGAGGAAGGTTGAAGTGCTGAAAATGAATTCAAATTATATAGGCCTCTATATAAAATGTATTGAAAGATAAGTTGAGTTTATTTATTGCAAATTACACAATACAAATACTGTCTATACAGCTATACACACAATACGCACAATGCACTGTATAATTAGAATTAGGGGCCTATAGCCTACTAATACAAGTATTTCCAGATGCCGCTAGGCTGAAAACAAAGTATTATGACAAAAACTATACCTGATGAAATGAGTGGCCTAGTGGTGGAATGGATGAACTGGTGGATAAGCTGGTGAAATGGGTGTCTATTGAAGATGAAAAGCTGAAAATAAACATGAATTGTATATTATTCATTGTATTGAAATAGAAAAACAGTGGAGTTGATTTATTGTATTTTTGAATACATATACATGTATACTGATACATATACTTGCAGATACAGCAAGGCTGACAAAAACTATACCTGATGAAATGAGTGGCCTAGTGGTGGAATGGATGAACTGGTGGATAAGCTGGTGAAATGGGTGTCTATTGAAGATGAAAAGCTGAAAATAAACATGAATTGTATATTATTCATTGTATTGAAATAGAAAAACAGTGGAGTTGATTTATTGTATTTTTGAATACATATACATGTATACTGATACATATACTTGCAGATACAGCAAGGCTGACAAAAGCTATACCTGATGAAATGGTAGGCCTAGTGGTGGAATGTGAACTGGAAAAATGAGTGTTGTCTGTTGGAGGATGAAGTGCTGAAAATAAAATAAACATTAATTATATACTATTGTATTGAAAAAATAATTAGTGGAGTTTATTTATTCTAAAATATATTTTTTATAGTACAAATACAGGCTGGATTACTAATTTGTATTATTAGACTATGATTACCAACCTGTAGATTATTTTTAAATTATTGCCTACATTTTTGTTATGCATGGTACTGTACCTGGTGAAGTTGGTGATATGTGAGTGTGAACTACTAGTACTATATAGGGCCTATTATATCAGTATATCTGAAATTAAACCATTTCATTTTTATATACAAGTAATGTTTTAAAACATCTGGAGGCGTAGTAGACTGAGATCTAGACTACAGTTTGGAACAAAATAAATAACAGGTGGATTTTCTATAACCATTTCCAAACCATGGTCGTCTGAAAGCCCATACATGTAGTTTCAAATATTGTCTAGATACACCCCCTAAATTTGTATATACATTTTGTATGATCCCATCCACTGGTGTAAGGCGTCTTGAAAATTTTATTATTTTGAACATGAGAAATTCTCACTTCAGAAATCCACCTGTCAATTTATTTTGTTCCAAACTGCAGGCACGTTCGTAGCCTACATGTACAAACGAGTACTGTATGTCACTTTACATCTACCTACAGTGACCTAGCTAGATCTTTTACAATGTATCTATATTACATGAAGTCAAATATAGAGCGTTCGTTGAATGATTAAACAGGGCTAAACTCTATCAAAAATACATATCGCAGCCAAGCAAAATCATGAGCCCAGCACAGTTCTGAATACCCGCCATTTTTGGAATATTCAAAAACTTGATTTGTAAATGTGATTTATAAGTGAAATTAAATGTACTTCAATGAAACTTTACTGTATTTATATTCTAAGAAGTGTTAACTTTCATATAACTTCAATATGGAGTGCAATTAATTGAATTAGAACGATGAAATGTATACTTACGCGAGAGCGACGAAAATACAGTGATGGATGCAAGAGCGAGTTGCAAGGGAAGCTACACTGCACGAAAACTTCACAGATAGGCTCAAATCCCCGGGAAAATACATTAAAATGTATTTTTCTGCTGCATTTATGATAATATTTAAACAATTTTGCATTGTATGTATTATTTGGATAATATTTGACTATTATGTATTTAATTTTTCAAATTTTATTACTTTTAAAGGGTCGAAGATAAGGTTTTAAACTGAAAAATAAAAAATAAAAATTGAAAATAAAAATTGTTTTAGCGTGGATGAAGAAATATATCAGTCGAGATGGAATATTTTTGAAATGTGTGTTGAGATACATATCTAATGTTTACAAAACAACTTCAGAAAAATAATTTCATCACGTATTTCTTGAGATATACGTGGTTAAGTAGAGCGTTTCGAAGGCAAACAAACGCATCAACAAACTTAAATGTTGATATTTACGTGATTATACTGAATTAGTTAATGGGAAGTTCCAGTCAATTATCACTTGAGCGGAACCACTATGCAATAAGGAAAACACTGATATGCGCATTGTAAGTTTTGGTTAAGTATGTATTAAGTTATTTAAGAAAGAGTGAAGGTTGTGCATTATTTTTCTGTGACGGGTCAATTATTATGGAGATACGCGCGAGAATATCACGTCACTCCTTGGTGGGCACACGGGTGGACGAAAGCTCATTGTCCAAATCGCTCTCGTTTGCGACGTTAAACACAGAAGACGACTTCCCCCTGAGAGAAATATTCACAAATTTCTCCAACTTTGGCCTTACTTGGTGTCAATTTCTTGCTAGAAGACAATACAGAGCCGTATATACGAATGGCATATGGATTTTTCAACAATAAATTAGGGTTGATGCTCATATTATAGTCTGAAATGTCATAATGTGTCATTTCCTGATTTTTTTTCTAGAGATCTAAACTGGATCTAAATAATTTTTGGAAAAGCTTAGCCTAGCGTAAGAGACCAATAGCATAAGGTTTTATTTTTGGAGAAATCTAATTTGTGGCCCTAAAGACTACATATTGATGTGTATTACCACGGAAGTCACATTGATTATTGCTACAGAAATAAATCGTAAAGCTCAGTCGAACTATTGGGAACAAATAAGGTGTGAAGGCAAAGAATAGCAAAGCAATGAGAGGAAAAATCAAGATGCAAAACTATTTTAGGATATGCGTAATGTTGCTGCTGTGTTTAGTTCCAAATATTTTGGGAAAAGCTGTACTTGTTCCAGGAAAAACAGACAGTGGAGATGTAGAGAAGAAACAAATTAATGCTCAATCACATATACTGCAAAATCAAAATTTAAATGACGTTGAAGAAAACGATATGAACCAAGGTAATGCTAATAAAAAAAATTCAGATACACTTCGAGTGGAACCTATGCAAGTGGAAGAGCCACTCAAAAAACTTGACAAGGAAGACCTTAACCCACCAGACCATCTTGATGCAGTTAGAATGGAGCAAGATGGACATCTTAACAAAGATTGGCGCAAAGAAGTCTTTCTCGGGGAACATGAAGATTTTGATCAAAGCACCAGAGAAGAACAAGATCAAAAGTTAAAGATGGTGTTTTACAGGTACATGTAGCCATTGAATTTGTGAAATGTCAATGAATTTTGCTGTTTGAAATGTTCCTGTTGTTGGTTGTCTTTTTGTATTTTTATAACCTTCATATTTATTTATTTTCCTGTGAATTTTCAAGATATATTTCAAATTCTAATATGATACTTGACATCACAATATTAATAGACTAGATGCGAGCAGAAATAATCTTGATTTAGGTTATTAAATATTCAAAATTCAGTACATCTAAAAATATGGTTTCGAAAATTGTCTATCAACTTTGAAAATTTGATTTTTTTGAAAACGTGACTTCTTGTTCGAGTTGATTCCCCATAGACCCCATGTTACAAAATCACAAAAAGTAAATTATCTTCTCTTGTATTGGACAGATAACATTTTCTTTTATTGGACATATTTTAATTTGCATAACTATTAGATACATAAGGGTTATATGAAAATTGAACCATGCAAATAGATGTAATTTAAGTTAACAGGAACTTTCTACCATACCCGCCATGCTATCTGACCCGAATGAGCCACCTGGTGGTGAATCTGGTAACTACCTACTCGCATCTGGGTTATTAGAACAGTTGATTTACTGGTCTATAATGGCTCATGGAGTAAGTATGACCACTAAATTCCATCAACGCTAATGGTTATTTTTCTGATTTGTTTATCATAATTAGAATCTTAAAACAAAGACCTTGATTCTATTATTTATGGTAAATATATGACCTCAGATTTTATTCTGGCCTTTTCCAAAGACCTCAACTTCTAATGTGCGATTTTGGTCTTTTAACAACGAGCAGAATAAAATTTTAGGTCATATATTGTACCATGAATCATAGAATCTCGGTCTTTATTCCTTAAAGAATTTGTGAAATTTAGAAATTTATTTATTGTTGTCAGTATGTTGTCAGTGTATCTAGTGGAACATGTATGTTTAATTATAACAAAGTTTGGTAGGGATATACAGGGAAGCCATCCATCTGTCTTAGTCAGTCCATCTGTCTTGATGAAGTTCAGATACTAGTTGATAGATTTTCTTCATATGTAGTAGAGAGATGTATATCGGTGAATAAATGTATGCAAAAAGTAATCATTTCAAAATGGCCGCTGCTTTAAAAATAGTGGGAATTGTTTGCAAAAATCTAAGTTTTTCATTATCAACCAAAGTAATGAATATTAACTTTTGAAATTTTGGTAGTATAATCACAACATTATATATTTACAGGTCTAGTATTCAGTATTTTTAAGCGTGACCCCCAGTGGCCATCTATGGAGTCCCGTGTATAGATCTCAAATAAAAGACAATTTTGTGTGGATTGCAAATTTTGTATCATTTTTTCTGATTCAGGATTTTGCAATAATTTCCTGATCAAAGTAAAGCCATATAATAATATTATACTCAAATTGAAGCGATCTGAAGTAGATCACAATTATGGTATTGTTTCATAAGTTCCAGTACAACTTTTGGTCCTTTCCCTTTGGGACTCATGCTTAGATAGTGATATCGGTTCTTGAATGGTGGGGGGAAAGGGGGTATTAGACATTATTTCTTTTCAGGTTAGATCACGGTTTTGGGATACATGGGGTTTGTTTTTTCTTGACTGGTATGCACTTAGAGTTTGCTTTTCTTGCTAAGTTCCATTACAACTTTTGGTCCCTTCCCTTTGGCACTCGTGCTTAGATATTCACTGATTCGTGCCAATGAAAATTAAAAATGGCTGTCTAAAGTTGGAATTCGCAAAAATAATTTAGAGATCTCTTCTATACTGTATCAATACCAGTATTGTCTTTATGATTTGTGCCTTTGAAACTCCTACATTAGGTCACCCAAATGTTTAAATTGGTGGAAATTCTGATCTCCAATGTCCGTCTTTTATTATCTGCAAATCATGGGTAGAGAAGACATAACATAACATTATGGCATACAGATTCATGAATATTTTTTTGGGAGTTGCCAATTTTTAGTTTATGACATTCAGATGTGCATTTTGTCTTTTTCAGAGTGGACACAGATAAAGATGCACACATAAGCTACACTGAGATGGAGACCTGGATACAGTCTAAGGTCAAAGAACATTTTGATGAAGCTGCTGAAGAGAATAATAGAATCTTTAAAGCATTAGATACAAACAAAGATGGTAAGACAGATCATTTTTGAACAGCCATGGGAGTTAAACCGGAATTTTCTCCAGAAATGAAGGGTTTCCCCTTTACAAATATTGGTTTCAAATAAAATATCAATACTGGTAGGCCTTCTGTAATTGGCGTAAATTCTGATATATATATTTGCTGCCTTATGTACAATAACAAAACTTTAATCTTGTTTTAAAAAGGCAACCATACATCCAGTATAGGTAATGATACTTTGAATATTTGTTGCAGGTTTTGTTTCATGGACAGAGTACTGTATCCAATTTCTGGTTGCTCATGGATATGACCAGAAAACTTCAGAGAAATACATGGAAGACTATGAAATAATAGAAGTGAATGATGAAGGTATATTGAATCTGTGAATGTCCACACAGTTAGTAATAAGACCAAATGGGTTGACCACATAGAGATTTCACTGTTCAGAAATCTCAATATTATATCAGGATCAGACTTCGGCTATGGTAGACTAGTATTTTCCAAATTGAAAATCTTTGTTGAAATGTTGTGAAGTGTGAAAGGGCCTCTTTTTGCAAGTGAAACACAAATTCAAAGATCTAGTATGAGAATTGATTATTGAATCATTCTTTGCAAATACTGAGGACTGTACAATTATATAGTTTATATGTTAGACAATAAATTGTATATTATTTGAAGAAAGCATTGGTATTTTTATTCAGTACGAGATCATATGGTGAAGAATAAGTTTCGCTGGTCCGAGGCAGATGAAGACCCTATGGACAACCAGCTGAACTTAAGCGAATTTAAGGCATACAGACACCCAGAGCAAAGCTTTAGAATGCTCGACAACATGGTCAGGGATATCCTAGAGAGTTTAGGTCAGTACATTATAATCCATTTGATTTCTGTTTATCAGTGCATCGTGAAAATTCTAGAACACAAGCACATTGCAATGTAGAGATTGCAATGGAACTGTGATATATGTACGGTATGTATGTATGTATATATTTATTGCCCTTTATATAAAGGGGACACATGTATACACATTATGTAAATGTTAAATTGAAAATGATCACTATTTACAAGCAAACAGTATTGTTGCGTTTTGACTGACAGCGACGCCAAGCTACCGCATAGACTCACACTGCCGATGGCATTTGATCACATTAAAATGAGAGACTAGTTTAGTTTTGGGGACAATTATCTTATTCCTAGAAATCTTGCATGTGAGAATCATGATGAATATTCGGTCTGACATTTGTACAAATAATATAATGTAGCGTGTAATCAATCAATAGATTAGCATTGACAAAAAATAGTTCTCATGATCCTTTCCCACATCATTGGACATTCAAAGTTCCAGTCAATAAAACGCTAAAACCTTAGATTTAAATTCCAGATGCTAATCATGATTCAATATTGACGGAGCAAGAGTTTATCGCACTGCCCCCTGGTGAGGTTGAGTCTGAATGGCGGGAATCTGACAAACTCTGGCAGGATGAGAGACGTAAAGAATTTCAAAATACGATTGATATTGATAAAAATGGAAAAGTTACAAAAGATGAGTTAAAGGTAAGGAGAATGAATGCTTGTATAAGAATGTTTGGAAAATAGCATGGGCTAAAAAGTGACTAAAAAGTTGACTGGCTCTATTAATGAAATACAGTAAAATCTCTCCGACAAGGAATAGTTTTCAGAAGAACCTAATATTTTCCATTGACTTACATGTTAACATACCCTCTCTGTAAGGAACACCTGTTAACTGGTAACAATGAACAGTGTTTTAGGGCAAAGTTAATAAATTTACCTATTCACAAGGAACTTGGAAAATGAATATGTGAATGGATGGCTTAATCCAATATGTGATTCTAAAGAGCTTAGTTTAATATGAATCAGATTAGAATAAGCCGAATGTTGACTACAGCTGCGACATCTCTACCTCTGTTAATTACCCCAATATTGTTTTAATTGATCCGTTTTAACAATAGATAATTATCCCATCGAACAAAGTTCGGAGGGATATAGGGAACGCCTCTGTCCGTACGTGCGTACATACATCCATCCATCCGTCCGTCCATCCGGGCAATAACTCAAATACCGTTGGGCCGATTTTGTTCATATTTTGTACACATATACCCAATGGGGTAGAAGTTCTGCTCGAAAACCGATTGATTAAGCTAGAAATGTAAATACAGAAGAAATACATGGCAGCCATCTTGAAAAATGGCTGCCTTTGCACGTCATTTTACGATTTTTGCTGTAACTTGAAAAGTAGTGGAGCGATTTTGTTCATATTTGGTATGTGAACACTTTAAGCATGGCACAATGTCTAATGACATTTTTGGTAGTAGCTGGCCATTTTGAAAAATGGCCGCCATTTTTATGTGTGTTATTTAATATTTTTTACTTTAAGTCAAAAAATAGTGGAGCGATTTTGTTCATATTTGGTATGTGAATACTTTAAGCATGGCCCAATTTCTAATGACATTTGGTTAGTAGGCGGCCATTTTGAAAAATGGCCACCATTTTTTACGTTTTTTTTCGATAACTTGAAAAGTAGTGGAGTGATTTTGTTCATATTTGATATGTGAATACTGTGTGACACTTCACGTAGTAGGTGGCCATTTAAAAAATGGCTGTCATTTTTACATTTTTTACTATAATTAAAAAGTATTAGAGCGATTTTGTTCATAATTGAATGTCGTAAACTAACAACGTATTCACTTTCGGCCGAGATTATCGATATATCTCGCGAGATTTAGATTTTAAAACTTTTACTTCCTGGTGGCGAATTTCTACAACTTTCGAATTAGTTTACAAAGAACTGAATCAAACAAGAAGGTCAAATATGAGATAATCTAGACACAGGTAAGACTTTATAGCAATTTATCTTAGACTCTTAATCGCAAACATGTTTGATACACAATAATTTTGTGTTGAAAAGTTCACGCCCAAGAAAAAAGTTACGGATTACGGTACCAAG